ATGTTCTGCTGCTGATAAAGCACCTCCACCCCAGGAATGTCCCTAACGAGAGTTATACCCACCAAGGTTGTAAAGATGCTGGGAAATTAGGGAGAATACACAAAGAGACTCAACAAATGGTAAAATAAGCTCAGACCTGAGCTTTATGCTGACCATGTGTTCAAATAAAGGTCACAATTAAGTTACAATTTGGGCATGAAAAATAAAATGTAAAGAACTTGGGCAGGAAGGAGGACACATAGATGCCAGTGTGTAATTGGTTAACATTTTTGTTATTTAGGAGCGTGAAATAGTGTGACAGGTTTAGTAAATTGAAGGAGGGAGCGAGTTTTACCTATATGATGTAAATAAAAAACAATGCTCTTTGGGAACCATTTCCAGACTGCAGCTCAACATCAAGCTGCTGGAACTCTGACCCCTCTGCACGACCATGACGTGCAGAGGCATCACCGGGAACCCACAGATGAATTAATCCTGACTGGCCATTGGGTGAAATTTGTACAGTGGAAGTGGTGAGCATAAAAGATTTGCTTGGTAGATGTATTCTGTGTTTGTTGCTAATAAATAGATGTTTAGAGCACAACTGTGTAAGGCTCTTTCACTGGGAAAAGGTTCCGCAGACCCACAGAGCCCTGAGGAAAAGGGCGGGTACTTAAATTGACCAGGTTTCTTCCTGAGCCCCATGGGTAAGGATAGGTGCCTTACACACTGAGCCCTTCTGAAAGGAAAGGGTGGGGGTGCCTAAATTGATTGGGTCATGCCTTAAACCCTCAGTAGCGTGCAGGCGGGGTGCCTGAAATTGACCAGGTCACGCCTTGACCCCCTGGGTAGGCGGGGTGCCCGAAATTGACCAGGTCACGCCTTGAGCTCTGGGTAGGCGGGGTGCCCAAAATTGACCAGGTAACAACAACAACAACTCAGGCCTAGGGCACATTCAAATTTTACACCTAAACAAAAAGGGCACGTCTTGACTAGGATTTAAAGATGTGATGTGATGTTGTTATCACATCTTTAAATACTAATCTAGACAAGGCCAAAGAGTTGCTTACCTTATGTTTCATTACTTAACTAAGCTTCACAAACCAAAGACCATGGAACTGCACAGATCCACCAGGTACTTCCATTCTCCCATGCTACATCCCACTCTACTGGCCTTCCTGCCCTATCTAGCTCCTGGCTACATCTCTTGGCAGTACCTCATCATGGCTTCTCTGTCCCCTTCATTCACATCCCATGCCATCTGACTCCTCCTGCCAAGTCCAAAGTCTCTAGAGAGATCAAGCCTTGACAGTGAAAGTCCCAATCTGACATACCTGGCCTGGGCTCACTTCTGGTAAGCTATAAAGCCAGAGACCCAAACTATCTCTGTAGTGGAGCTGCTAGCTCCATTTCACATGGCAACTTTGGACACAACTCTTTCCCTCTCCCTCATCCCTGTTACCTACAGAGTTGCATCCAAAGATGGCTAAACAGGCAGCCTCTCTATCTGGTGAACCTCAGTGATTCATGGCCTCTGGGTCATGGACCTTAGCAGGCCTGTCAAACTGGGATCCATGCTGCTCAGGCTCACTACAGCCTAGAAATACATCCCAGGGAACATTGGCAAAGTTGCTGGTCTCCCTGCTCCCCACTTAACTCCAACCTCGGATAGAAGAAAGCCTTGTCTGTACTAAAGAATTTCACCAGTTTAACTAGAGTGATTCAAAATCTATTTTTAGTTAAACTGGGGCAATTTTCTGGTACAGACATGCTTGCACTGGTAAGTTTACCTTGTCCTATTTGTTACAAGTAAATAGATGAGGTCAGAGTTAAGGTTGTGTGACTAACTGATTGGACGTGGGATGAGAATTTTTATGCAATGCAGAAAACAAACACCAGTGTGTCTGTGTGAGCTCAGCGACTGGCAGTGGTATTGCAAGCCGATGGGCTACCTCACTGGCTCGCACACCAAAAAACACTCTCCAGCCACAGGATTGCACTCCCTTTTTCTTCAGGGCTTTTGTTTTAGTTCTTCAAAATAAAGTGATTTGACACAAGTTCAACATCGCAGTAATGTCCTTTCCCCTGACTCGGGGTCTTCCACGGAGGCCCCATCTATTCCCTACAAAGTTAGTCTCTGTAGGCCATCTGGCTGGGTGTTAAGGCAAGCCTCCTTCTCCTTCCTGGCCTGCCCCCTGCAGGATTACACTCTGTAGGCCCTCCTGCAGCTGGGAGGCAGCTGATAAGTCATGGGTGGGGATGGGGCCAACTCCTTTTAAGGGCCAGTCAGCCTCTGACAGGGATATGGAAATTTTCATTTTTAAATCACCGACTGAAAATTTTTTCTGTCACCTGTGACTTGACAGACTCCTAGCAAACAGGCATCTGCATCGCAGCACTCAGACGTGGCACTCTTGTTAGCAGACTCACAGAGGTGAAATAACTGATAGAGGGGTAACATATTCAAAAGTGATCAAGTAATTTAGAACCCTAAGTCCCATATTTAAAAGTGACTCAGGCTCCTAAGTCTCAATGAGTCTAGAGTTCGAAATGCCTATATCGTTTTTGAAAATGAGACACTTGGCGCAATGCTGGAGCTCTATAAACAATGAATAACTGGACAGGAGGACACAGCTGTCTCTTCAGGTGAAGGCTGGCACACACTGAAGGGACGGTGCTGAGACACAAAGGGAAGCTTACACTGCTACTTGTGCTGTAGCTCGTTGATATATGATCTTCCAGGGACACCCGGCTCCTGTGACAAGTGATGAATTCACTTATAAATAATTTGTTGCAGATGAGATACCTCATTAAAGTCAAATCCACTAAGAGAAGATTATCAATAGTGGGTCAGGTTCACAGCCTGGATCCTTGACTTCCACAGGGAGAAGACAGGCTGTGAGGCCCTCGAGGCCTACCCACAGCGAAGGTGCAAGCTGTGAACAACTCCCACTCCTATCAAGGGCTGGAGCCACCTGGCACAGCCCACAAAGTGGGAGGGGGCGGCTAGGGATGAGGTGGGACCAGAGCACCCTGGTGATGTGCAGAATCAGCACATCTTCTGAGCAGGTTCTGTGTTTAAATTTCCCTTCCCTGGCAAAGAATGGCAGAGCTACCACCCCATTCCTAATCCTGGAAGTGAATTCCCACTCTGGCACTGCTGGGGGCAGGGGGGAAACTGAATCAAGTACAATAAACATAATGAGATAATTTCACAGGTGGCGTAGACCAAGGTCTGGAATAACACATGGCTTAGTGAACAGGGACACCAGAAAAAAGCCAAATACAAATGACACCACTGAGAAGTAGTATGTGGATTTTCAAACCAAAACCAGGACAAAACCCAGCAGATCTTTGTGGGACTCTGCAAATGTACGGACAGTAGGAAAAAAGCAGAGTCTCAATAAAGAAACAGAATAGAACACCTGTGCCAGATACTGAAAGACTATTTAGCAAAATTATGAGTCCCACTCCAGCTCCCATTGAAGTAAATGGGAATCCTTCCATTGACTTTATCGGGAACTGGACGGGACCCAGGGTCAGCAGCCATGCATCCTTTGGAGTCCTACAGAGTGCAGAGTCACAGAGCACCTACAACAGTAGGACCATCTAAATACCAACATTAAGCTCAGCGTTCCTCTCAAAACAGCTCCTAATCCTTTTCACTGGGAAGAGTCTTCCAGATACAAAACACATAAGGATCTTCCAGCATCTCCTCACTGCCTACACCCATGTCTGTCTTCCCTAAAGCTAACCATTCCCTCTGTTAGTTTAGGAAGGCCTAAGGCCTTCACACCCCCACCCAGGTGTCTGTGTCTGCTCCCCTGGGAATAGCTGCCTGACAGCTGCCCCTGCCTCTGGACTAGGATTGACCTGGAGTCTCTAGGAATTAAAGATTGTAATAAAAGGTTAGACTATGTTAATCGAAGAAACCTCTAGGAATACGTCCAACTAAAATTGGCAACCCTACTCTGGACAGGTGACCGTTTACAATCCTTCTGAGCGCTGGGGAAACAAGTCTTGGAACTTGGTTGGCACCTGGAAGTAGAATCTTCCCAGCTAATAGCTCAGACACTGTCTGTCAAAGACTCAAAACATGTTTAGTGGGAGGTTATTTATTTGGAGCTATTATGTTGCCTTCCAAACAGCCCTGCTACTGAACTAAACTAAACCAAACCAGTGTATGCATATAGTAAACATCCCAATAAACCAATCCGCCCACACATTTACTATCCCATAACCACCTCACATAAAATATTAATAAATTATTACAGATCAGCTCCATACCCTTCACATTTCCACCTTATTGAAGTCAATGCGACTTAAGCACATGTGTGTGCTGGAAAGAAGCTGTTTTGTCTTTTCCAAGCAGGCATTCCAGCTTTCATGGCTTCCTGTAGCAAAGCAGTCATCTGTGCTCACATACATACCTGAGCATGCTTTAATTGTTATCAGAACAAACAACTGGAAAGTTGAAAACATTTCACAAAAGGGGTAGTCATAGAAGTAAATTTAAATCAGAAGGGAAAGAACAAATGAAGAATATTTTTTAAAGGCAACTTTTGCACTGAGAAGCGTATAGATGTCCAGTATTATGTGTCTTTCTTGAAACAGAAGCACTTGTGAAGTAGATGGATGAAATTATGGAATGAAGATTACCAGGAAGAAATTTATATATTTGGCACACCCCGTCAAAGGTACTCACATGGAAATTTCAAGTGAATGAAACTATCAGTTTGAAGGATAACCTGGGAGAAATGAACCACATCAGGCACGAATCAGCTCACTTGGTCAGAGATCACAATGATAAAGGCCCATGTCGTATACAGAATAAGCAGTCCATAAGAGTCTCTTCAAAAGTACCTTTGTTACTCATAAAATATTCAGTGTTCAGCGGTATGTGAGTTTTACATGATACTATGATCCATAATATTTACAGTACATTAGCGAGTGACAGCTTAAACTTAAGCAATGATGGATTTAAAAACATCTTTGAAAACATGCCAAAATATTTCTCTTACCTTCAGTGAAGCTACCTGTAAGAGTGATTACCACAAACACTTTTCCCTCTGGCTCCAGATCCACCTGAAAAAGATTGGGGGACAGGAGGAGAAAGTATGCTTCAGAATAAAGTCTTCTCTTTGCATGTTAAATTAATCCAATACTTGACAAACATTTAAAGTTGTGTAAGTTATGCTCTTTAGACCTGATTTTCAGAAATATAGAGCACCCTCAGCTCCAATTGCTCACCACCTCGGTGCGGGAGGGAGAATCTGGTTCTTAATTCTTTAACAATCCAGTGTGTTGAACAGTCTCATTCTTGCATTAAAATATGTGAGTGAAATAATCAATAGACTCTAATATTATTATAATTTGTCAGGCACATTCAGTGGTAATAAGCCCCTAGGTTATCTGGACAGAATGGAACCTACAAGGTGTATCGCTGTTAGTCTGGTGAATTAAAAAAGTTTGTTCATTTAGTCCCCTATTATCTCATATTGTGCTTGTTTTAGAGTCACTGGAAAAACATCAGTGCTGTGTATAACATAAGCCCCCGTCTGTGCCTGATCCACATACCGGGCCAGCCAGGGTATGCTGTCCTTTAACTCAAGCTACAGATGGCCACATGAAACAGTTCTGGAGGTCCCAGGTTCAATCTCCAATGATGATCAAGTTGAAGGCCATTACCTTCCAGCTGAAGGAGCCAGGGAATTTTTTATTTTGAAACGTTTCTTGAAAGTTCACCTCATTTATTGCAGCCTTGCTAAAAATTACTGATGTTCAAGTCAGCCTGCCACATGGTACCTATAAAAAGTCTCTGCTAATTTTATCCTTGCTAATTTAAAGACAAGCTTCACACCAGGTGTGTATTGATAATCTTTGCAGAAGAAAAATTCTGAAAATAGAGCTCCCAGGAGGAATGACTAAACACGATAAATTTCCAGCTGTCTTTGTGCTTGTCTTAACTTGTTTTAGACAGGAAAAAAAATGATTTAACAAGCCACTAACGCCACCATTAGATAACAAAGTTTAACACCTAGGACCGACATGTTTTAAATACACCTTGCTGTGCAAATGTAGGTGGGACTGATATACTGTCTAGTAGAACAATGTGTTTTCAGGGGTTGGGTCAAGACTGTGAGACCAAATCCCATAGGATTTTAAAAGTACCCCCGAATTCACCACTTCTGCTCCAAGTGCCAAATGCATATTTTCAACTTTGCTTTCCTTCGTCAATATAAACACAATGCACACCAGCCAATAAAGAAAATCTGCACAAAACCTTCCCCCTGGAGAGAGGGAGAGAGAAAGAAGGATGAACCTGCATGACGCACATCATTTGAGGCACGCTTGGAAAGCGCTCAGATACCACAGTGATGGTCATGCTGTAACAGCCTGAATAGAAGACAGAATAGTATGGTTGTTCCCAAACTGTGGTCTGAGGACCATTGGTGGGTGGTCTGGACGACAGCCGCAAGTGGTTCACAGAACTCTAGCTCACCATGTGGTGCTAGCTGCTACTCGTTATCTCCAGCTGCTGAACTGCAATAAAATGCAGTTTAAAAATTGCATTTAAACAGTTGCTGTAGGAACTATATAAGTGCTGCATGACCATGAACGGTAGGAGAGGTGGTCCCCACAGCTATAAATGGGAGAAGTGTTGGATAAGTCAGTCCCTCTACTGAGTTGTGTTGTTAATATTAATTAGCACTTTCTGTTAGCATTGTCCAAGAAATGGTGCAGCACCACTACCAGGGAGGCTAATTACAGCCAGACTAAGAAAAGCAAGAAGCAAATGATATTCTGGAAGGGACAGTAAAGTGCACCATTCCCACACCTCTCTCATGCCCCAGATCTTGGCACCAGCATTGAGAAATAATCAATACTTTTAAAATTCTCACTCAGAAGTGCAAGCAAGTGAATATGAGACACCACAAAGGAGGAAAAGAGCAAAGTGAGGGTGAAAGAAAGGATGAGAGCTAGCATACAATGGTTATTTATACAGCCCAACAGCAGTTCATTGTGCTCTACAGACAAAAAGAATGACAGGTACATGCATACAAGGAATAAAAGACAAGGAAACTCATTGTTTCCTGACAATAGCTTAACCAGAGTTGCTTGGGAATTTTCTACTGAAGGGTTTTTTTGGATGGAAAATGTGTCAATTATGCTGAATCCCACCCTTCCCCACACCCTCAACTGGGAAAATCTAAGCTGAATGCGTCAGTTTGAGTCGACATTAACCAATGCATCTGCCTTAGCTACCACTGTCTCACTTGTGCCTCCGTTCTCTCCTATGAGATCGGCTCCCTGGCTAGACTACGCTTCCCACGATGTCACGTCCCCTGTGGACCTAAATTCCAATCTTACAGGGTTTCTATGCACTCTTTCAACTGTCCTAAATAGTTTGTTTAAAATAAATAAAACTGAGTTATGGGCCTTTGGGAACAGACAGGTCAAGCTTCTGTGGATAAATTCTTCATTTTATCTTGAAAATGAGCTAAGTGGGTCTTCAAACGTAAAATCTAAAATGCAAAATCTGTCACTATGCATTGTTTTTCTGCTAATTTCATTAGGTGAAGATGCCTCAGTCTTTCACTTCCACATCCAAGAAGAGAAACATTCCCTGTTTCTCTTCTTGAAATTTAATAGTAGGCCTTAGTCCTTCCGCTAGAGTTCTGCCCAAGTATAGACTGCAGGATTTAGCCCTTTATATATTTTCAATAGACCTTACATAGTATTTGATACAGAACAAAAGCACTAAACATGGAGTTTGGAACAGCTTCTGCATGAGCTCTTTGTGGTTTTGCACTCCACTTTAAATATGGTTTGTGCGGCCAAGGTACTATGCAGCTTTAGGAGATTGGCGCGATCGCTCATTTTAAAGATACAGCAGGAGACATTCTACCACATCAAAGAGCCCCAAACTTCTCCTCATTCTAAAGTTGAAGGATAGTCAAATCCAGTAAAAGGATTTAGCAGCCATGGTCATAGAACGTCCCTGTTTTTTCCCCCAGCAAGAGCCTGGAATGCGGAGGGGCCTAGCTGTAATTGAGACTTTCTCATGGCACATCCTGGTGAGATCTGGAAATATATAATGTTCATCCCCCATCATATAGTTCTTAAATTATTTTTGCAGTAGCACCACAAGGCCCCAATCCAGAGTGCCAGGCACTGTATACCAGAGATATGCTCTAGTTCAACACCAAGCCATGGGGCTATATGCAGGAATTGCTGGGTGTAATCTGTGGCCTGTGTTATTCAGGAGGTCCAACTAGATGATCCTAATAGTCTCTTCTGACCTTAAAATACATTGTACTTCAGGTTTCATTAAAGAAATTGTTACAGTGAAAGGAAACTATTAAAAACATCAGATTGTCAATAATAGTTTGGATTTTTGACCTGCAATGCTGTTTTTTAAAGGTGACCTTTGACAAGATTGTGAAGAATCCCATATAACATTCATCATTTGAACCAAATCAGAGGTACATGGAAAGAGGTGAAAACAAACTATAAACTTTAAGTAGGGGAAGTGATAGAGGAAATTGGAGTATTAACATCCATCTCCAGCCCAACATTCCAAGGAGTCTGCCTGAGACCTGACATGGACAGACAAGCTGTCCAGTCACAGCGGTTCAAATCTCATGGGATGCTCTTGCTCTTGACTCCTAGAACTGAACTCTACGATGAGGCACACTTGGGAGAAAACTAATGCCTGTGGAATCTGCTCGCTGAGGCTCCAATCCAGAAAGGCACAGAATTAATTTTAAGTACATCAACAGCCACACTGCAGTCATCCCATTTAAGTCAATCAGCCTACTCACTTGCTTAACTCTGTGCACAAGTAAGGCTTTCGCTACTGTCTCACATGACCTCATAAAAAACTACATAAATATAGCCTAGATGAACCTACTATAAGGTGGGTGCACAACTGGTTGGAAAACTGTATTTAGAACATAGTTATCTATGGTTCACAGTCAAGCTGGAAGGGCATATCGAGTGGGACACCATAGAAATCTGTCCTCGGTCTATTTCTTTTCAGTATCTTCATAAATTATTTGGATAATGGCAAAGAGAGTACACTTATACATTTTGTGGACAGTACCAAGCTAAGAGGTGTAGCAAGTGCTTTGGAGGACAGGATTAGAATTCAAAATGATCTTGACAAACTGGAGAAATAGTCTGAAATAAATAGAATGGAATTCAATAACGACAAATGACAAGTACTACACTAAGGAAAGAATAATCAATTGCACAAATACAAAATGGGAAAGGAGGAGTACTGCAAAAGAAGATCTAGGGATTATAGTGGATCACAAACTAAATATGAGTCAACAATGTAATACTGCTGCAAAAAAAGCAAACATTATTCTGGGATATATTAGCAGGAGTGTTATAAGCAAGACACGAGAACTAATTCTTCCACTCTACTCAGCACTTATAAGGCCTCAAAAGGAGTACTGTGTCCAGTTCTGGGCACCACATTTCGGAAAAAGATGTGAACAAACAGAAGAAAGTCCAGAATACAGCAACAAAAATGATTAAAGGTCTAGAAAACATGACCTACTGAAAAAACTGGGTTTGTTTATTCTGGAGAAGAGAAGACTGAGGGGAGGCATGAAAACAGTTTTCAAAGTACACATTATTATTAAGGTTTCAGAGTAACAGCCGTGTTAGTCTGTATTCGCAAAAAGAAAAGGAGTACTTGTGGCACCTTAGAGACTAACCAATTTATTTGAGCATGAGCTTTCGTGAGCTACAGCTCACTTCATCGGATGCATACCGTGGAAACTGCAGCAGACTTTATATATACACAGAGAATATGAAACAATACCTCCTCCCACCCCACTGTCCTGCTAGTAATAGCTTATCTAAAGTGATCATCTTTAGATAAGCTATTACCAGCAGGACAGTGGGGTGGGAGGAGGTATTGTTTCATATTCTCTGTGTATATATAAAGTCTGCTGCAGTTTCCACGGTATGCATCCGATGAAGTGAGCTGTAACTCACGAAAGCTCATGCTCAAATAAATTGGTTAGTCTCTAAGGTGCCACAAGTACTCCTTTTCTTCTTATTATTAAGAG